GTAAATAGCCCGCGGATTATTGCCAGTTGTACTGTGGTAATTATCTTTTTATGGCACGGCTCAGGCTACTGGCCCGTGACGATTCCCATTTTCAGTATGAGCCCCTGAGTAAATTTACACTGAAAAGATCTTGTCTAAAATGTGTGTTTGAATGACAGTATTCATAGATAAAAACTTCATTCGTATATTTTATATCTGCTGGCGTGTATATATGTGTGTGTGTTTTGTGTGATATTATGCACACATGTGTTGTTTAACTGTACGCATGCAAAGGTATGGGTATGTGTCTGTAAGAGAGTGTATATGTGTGTTTTATGTGTGTGCATAAGTGTGAGTGCATGCGTATGAGAGTGTATATGTGTATGCTTTTGTGAGTGCGCCTGCGTATGTATGTGTATGCATGCGCATTTGTAAGCGTATAAGCGGTGTGTGTGTATCTAAGTTGGTATGTGGGTATGGAAGTATTGTTGTATAAGTATGCCGGTATTTTTGTGTATGTATGAGAGTATATTTATGTGTACTTATGAATGTGTCGGTTTAAATGTATGTGTGTTTATGAACGTGTGAAGTAATAATTGTGCGTTTAGGAATGAATATAGGTAAATAAATGTTATGTGTGTGCGCCTATAATAAATGCATGTGGTGTGAATATGCCTGCATTTGCTGATGCATGCTGTGAATTTGGACTGAAAATCAGCAAACAAAAGATAAAGGTTATGGTGCAAAATGTTAATGATAGACCTGCAGTCTACGTTGATGGTAAAGAGCTAGAGACAGTTGACCATTTTACCTATCTGGGTCCCACAGTGCATAACAAACTATCACTGGATCAAGAAATCGACATCAGGATAGGTAAGGTAGCAACAGCAATGAGCAGATTAAAAAAAGAGTTTGTGAGAACAGAAAGCTTACGATTAAAAACAAAAAACTCTTGCTTATCAGGCCGGCGTTCTCAGCACTTTGCTTTACTGCAGTAAAACGTGGTCAGCTTATTCGCATTAGGAGAAACGGCTAAATAGCTTTCTCATGTGATGACTAAGAAGAATACATGGCATTAAGTGGCAGGACAAGATCACAAACACTGAGGTATTGGAAAGAGCAGGTATTACAACTGCCTTCTCCATGCTCAGTCTACGATGGCTTAGGTGGCTGGGTCACACATGGAGGATGGCAGAGTCCCTAAGGACATCCTTTATGGTGAATTAAAGACGGGTAGAAGATGTAGAGGTCGACCTCTACTACGATTTTAAGATGCGTGCAAGCGGGACATGAATGATACAGGTACTGAAGTGGACTGTGGGAACAAAATACTATGGACCGTGTTGTATAGAGGGGGCACATTAGGAAAAGTATGAGAATGAAGGAAGAAATAATTGCAGAAAGGATGAAAGCTGAGCGTCTGAGAGGGAAACCGGCTAAACACAAATGTTGACAACAGTGATCCTGAAATCCCGTGCTATAATTGTGAAAGACTTTTCTTAACGCGGGCGGGTCTTGCTAGTGACATTCGCCATGGTCTGTGACTCCAGGCCTCCTCATAGCACAATTAACACTATCGTCTGAAAAGTCGGAAAGGTGCAATCAAATCATCTACACGTGTATGTGTGTATGAGTGTATGTGTATATTTCCATGTATACGTGTATATGTTTTTATGTATGTGTATTTTAATGCATACATTTACCACCCATGTTTTTGAGTATCTTACGTGGCATATATATTATGTATATTTTTATATTAACATAACATGCTTAAATAATGCATTACAATTGCATTATAAAAGATGAATGTTTAGAGGGCCTAATGTAAGACAGGCCTGCGTGCTTAGTGTGTGTGTGCCTTGTGGAAGAAAAGTTCCATTGCTCGCTCTTGAGCTCAAATCTAACACTGACACTAAGGTCGACCCAGCCAGAAATTGGTAGCAGATAATGTCCAGATAAGTAATCGCGTCACCCACAGAGGGATGATTCATCATCATCATTATCCCGTAACACAGGGTTTCACTGGGTCACCAGTCGCTGTTGTCTGTCCCATCAGCTCCCTCAACCTTTGACGGTCAAATGGTGACGAATCTCATGACTGCGTGACTAAAACTGGTCCAGTCAGTCAAATTCTGTATCCAAGTCATTCTTGGTCTGCCTCTTCTCTTCTGCTCTCATGAGCCCTGTAGTATGGTTTTTGAGATGCCATTAGATCCTACTACGTATCCGTACTACTGCATTTACCGCCTTTTCACTGTACTTAAAAGAAGCTCATAGTTGCCAAAGTGCTGATAATTATACAGCGAGACTCATCATTTGTAAAGTTGTCTCTCTATGATATGCCCAGAATGTTTCTGAAAAATCGCATTTCTATTGCTTGTATTTTCTTTTCAAGTTCAACTGTTAAGGTCCAAGTTTCACAGCCACATGTAAACGCATTAACACTAAGTAGCAATTGATCTATACAACTAATGAATATTTATAGCCCAGCTGTTTAAGCCGTAAGCGCTAGAATTAAAACAAAATAAAGGGACTTATTCAGCCAGGACGTCGAAAAGAAACCCTAATAGAAAGGTGGGTGTTGCATCCGTGATATAAAGAGACTGCACACGATAAAACGAATTGAGGAATACACTGTGAGTCCAGCCGAGCCTGTAATAGCATAAGAGGACAATGATGATGATTTAAGCCCTACAGATACATCTTCCTCTATTCTTCCTCTACCTCTCCTGTCTAGCAGTTTCTCATAAAGGCTAATTTCTGTTTATCACCTCTTCTGTGTAAAGCTCCATAAATTTCATTTATCTTATCCTCACAGTGATATTAATGTGGGTCTCGACGTCTGCACCTAATGCCATGGGAGTTCTACTCCCCGCCTCTCTTTGTCGACTTTTATAAAGACAGAATTTATGTCTCCCACTATTGTGAACTTTTCCCGTCAGGATCGATAATCTTGTGCTCATAAAATGCTTAGTTTGTTTTAGTCCCGAACAAGATCCCCGTGTGGGTTCGGGGGCCCCATTTTTAGAGAGGAAAAACAGAAAGGAAGAATAGATTTGATGTGCCCCTAAGAAGCACGATATAAAAGATGACTAATTAGTGTGTGTTTTTTTCGGTGTCGAAGTGCATTTTTCTAAGAGGCAAGGTACCAAAAGTCTCCATAAAAATAAGTGAGATAGGGGCTATCCTCCGAATAACGGTCCCAAATTATGGAGGTAAAATATATACCCTAACAGAGCCTCAGTCACGTGTCAATTGTGCACTTCCGGGGACTAGACCGCTACCTCCGAGAGTATTTGGATTGGGGCTAAACTAGATGGCTGAGACTCACGAGCAAATACAATGAAGGCCGCTGCGGGAAATGCGGTAGTTGCTGCTCGTGAGTCCCAGCCATCAAGTTTTTTCCAATGCACGCCGCGTGAACGGCGTTTCGATACTCTCGATAATTTAGGACCGTTATTCTGAAGATAGCCCAGATAGAAAAAGTAGATGTGCAAATAAAACTCCTGTTCTAGGTCAAGAACAAAGGCCAATGAACGAAGAACCTCAACTTCCTGATTGCATTTAATGCGAGTGAACCCCAAGAAGAAGATATAAGGTCTAACAAGCCATGACTTCATCATCATCATAATGTCCCAGAACACTGCGTGTCCTTGTGTCACTAGTTTCTTTTGACTGTGTGATCATCTATTTCTACCCTTGACGGCAAGGTGCATTGGACTTCACAGCTGCATGCTTATGGCCTGTCCAGTCCGGCAAGTTCTGTAACCAGGTCTTTCTTGGTCTGCCTCTTCTCCTTTTTCCTCCTCTACTGAGCCCTGTGTATTCTTGTTGAGAGGCCGTTAGATCTGATTACATGTCCGTACCGTTGCATTTTTCGTCGTTTAACTGTACTTAGAAAAGATTCATAGTTAACAATGTGTTAGGTAGCTATTTGGCAAGCCTGGTCATTTGTGATGTGCTCTCCCTATAATATGCCAATAAATGTTCAGTGAGATCTCATTCCAATGCTTGTGCCTTCTTTTCGTGTTCAGCTGTTTAGGTCCACGTTTCACAGCGACAAAGCCACGATTTAGCCATTTTTTGACATGTCCCATTGGATTAGCTCTTCCTATAATTGTCTTTGTTGTTATCATTGTCAAGGTCGTCATTACATTTATCAGAAGACCCCGCCGTGTACACTTCACTTTCCTTCTAACCTATGCGCGTTTCGATATCTTGTCGGGACTCTAGCCTAGTACCTTTAGCTTCTCTTTCTCATTTTCGTCGTACAGTTTTCTATTGGTTGTTTTCGCTGTCCCATTCGGTTTGCTTCATTTGAAAATACCTGCTTTATTGTTCTTTGTCCTATTCCTTTGAAAATGCGCCCATTATATTATTTTTTAAAATTCTTTCTGTGGGTGCTACCTAAGGCCAGTATCTTCCCAGAAGTTACAACAATCTCAACCTGGACCGATTTAAGCTCCAAACATTTAAGGCACCCGTAAGAGCGTTAGAAGTTCCAGTGGACCATAAGGTGAAGAAAAGACGCTGGCGTTGGATAGGACACACTTTGAGAAAACCTGAGAACAATATAACTATAATGTCTTTGCACTGGAATCCACAGAGACATTGAAATAAACGAAGACTAAAAACGCCCGGAGAAGGGAGCTAGAAAGTGAAGTTAAAAAGTTGGGGAGGGCATGGGGTAGGCTGCATGCGATAGCGAAGTGTAGAACGACTTGGTGTGAGTTGGTTGACGGTCTATGCTCCGCTAGAGACTAGAAAGGCAGAAGAGAAAGGGCGTTAGGAGCAGGGATAAAGTTTGATACAGCCAGTTACGTCAGGCACGCCAGATGTATGATAAGTTTTGTCAAGATAGCACAGGATTGACATTATTATCCATCTGAGCTAAAGACAATGTTGAAGGGAGAACTCGAGCTCATATCATGGGTAAAAGTCCACCTGTAACTCACAAAAAAAAAATATTTATAGTTTACTGTTAATGGCATACATACATTTAAAAAAGAAACCATTGATACCTCAAGAAAGCCTTCCGGGTCATCTTGTATCATAGACTGAATGATGTCCCGGTGTTCATCAAAGACCATGTTTGACGGCAGGAAGACCGTCAGTGTGTCCGACCCGGTGTTAAACATGTGCCGTAGGTCTCCAATGTCTTTACTGATGACATCATAAACACGCCTGGAAATATAGACCATGTTCACATGCGAGGACTCTCAAAGGTTAATTATATACGGGAATGGTTGGGCAAGACAACGACAGACTGAGCAGCATACGGACAGAAAGCCAGATAGATAGACAGACAAACGGAAGGACGAATTATGGATGGATGGATGATGCATGGATAGATGGATGGAGGGACTGAGGAATGGATGAAATGATGAATAGATACATATACTTATATATATATATATATATATATATATATATATATATATATATATATATATATATATATATATATATATACACTGATAGATATACTGATAGATAAATAAATCGAGAAAACATGTCACGCACGAACGCACACACACACACACACACAGACACACACACACACTGATGGGTCCGGGGAGGAGAATAGTGGTAGAAAATATAACAAGTTGTGTAGATAAGATGCACTGTGGTATTGTGAAAAATGGCAAGCAAGTTAAAATAACATTTTTTTCAGATCGTAAATCTTTCCCGTGGCAACTTATGGATGTCACTCGTGGACTTTCACTCAGTCTTTGGAAAGAAAATCAGAGCTTTCGAACTTAAATGATACAGAAAGGTTCTTAGAATACCCTGGTCCCAGAAGAAGAAAAACGTCGACATTTTGCATGACCAGAACACCAGAACATCAAGGAGAACTGGCTCGTAAACAGCATCCTCTCCCGAAAGTTGATGTGCTTTGAATATGTCAAACGCCATGTTGGTCAGGAGAGTATGGTGATGGAGGATGCACTTTGCGCTAAACGAAGGTGGATACAGGACACTGAACATGAATTGGCTATGGAAGCATGCATTGCTGGAGAGTTGGCTAGAGAAAGAGAAACGTTTAGGCGTGCCGTAACTATAGCGACGTTCTGTAAAGGACATGCTGACTGATGATGATTATGATGATTGTGAACATGATTATAATTGAGGCATAAAAGGGGACTAAATGAGACAGAAAATATGAACTGAAGAAGTAGACTGAGGTGCAAGCCGGGACGAACTGAGTGAGATAGTTGCTGATCACAAAAATGAGGCAATAGTAGATGAGATGAACTAAGGCAGAAAATGAGATGACCTGTGACAGAAAAAAAAAATCTGTTACAGTAGACAATGAAGATGCAAAGAATTGTCACAACGGAAAATGAGTCAAAATGAGGCAGAAAAGGGTATGATATGAGTCGAAATAAGACCGAAAAGGGAAATTTTGACATAAGAAGAAATGGGCTTTAGATAGTGAAAGAGATGTCGACAAATGAGACTATATGTACATAAGGAAACATACCTTAGAGCAGGGATATCGCTGATTGCTTCCCAGATTGTGAAGTTGATGGTCAAGAGATTGTCCAAAAGATGAACCACACCATTAGTAACACCCGAGTCTGTCACCGAAATTCTAGACCTTATTTTCTTGTCAGCCGTCTCCAGAAAAATTTCTGCAAGAGATAATAATAATAATAATGATAATAATAATAACAGATATAACTGTAAAAGCAGCAATAATAATAGAGAAACATACAACACTTTAAAAATGAGCACTGTCAAATGTAACGTTTACTCAACCAAACTATGTTGCGCAGAGGCTTGATCAAAGAACAAACGACTAGAAAATCGAATTGAACCTCTGCTGATGTGAATATGCAGAAAAAAAGGTGGTATGTCATGTAAACAAGACAATCCGGTAATCAGGTAATGGGAGTTAACTTCATCGCCAACAGGTCACCACATAATTGATCCGTTACTGTGCTACCGAAAACCGCACATAATGTCCATCACTGCCCCTGTAAAAGCAGCTGACACAGACTGCAACCTCACCAAAGCCCAAGGCAGCTGTCAGGAATGCCAGCACAATCAATCCGGCGCTAAAAATGCGAATTTTCCTTGATGGAAGAAGCAGTTACCAAAAACGAAGCTGCCTGCGCAATTAATTACATAACTTACCACACATTAGCAACAGGTCTGTCATTTTCTACATCAGCAGTTCACAGTACAATCCACGTTTGGTACAGTTCCCCCCCCCTCCCCCCACCCCCCAAAAAAGAGCATATCAAATTAAATCCGCAGCCGACATTGTGGGGTCTTGCACTCAGTTCGGTAGATCAGGGACGGAACTATATCTTTTCGGTCTAAACATGAAGGAAAATGCAACGATAAGTGTCAGAATCAGAATCGTACCCCGACTAAAAACAATAAGCTATACTGAACGGAAGCTATATAGGTAGCTGGATGTAAAGACCTGGACGACGAAAATCAAATGTACATATTCTTACCAGACGGAAATAAATTAGGCCTGCTAAAAGAAAAGAGAAAGAGATATATAAAATGCTCAGCCACATTGAAATAGACACTATTCTCCTAAAATAACATACTAAAGGGAACAGTTAAGGGCAAGCGAGCCACAGGTAGACAATACAAGTGGAAGGACAGCATGAAGAGCGAGATGAACATCGTCTGAAAGAGTGTACTACCAAGACAAACACAGAGAGTGTCGGACATCCATTGCGGCCAACCTACATTGTAACGACGGCACGTAATTAATTAATTATAAGATAAGTAAAGAATGTGTTTACCTCTTGCTTTCTTGTTTCAGACATTTCCTTCCAGTAAAGTTTTTTCAAAGCATGATAAGAATGTGCCCACATATTTCTAGTTATCATATATAATTTATCTTACAATGGGTAGTAAAGGTACTTAGGACTCTTTGCATTCGATGCAAGACTTACGTTTTCTTATTTTTATACACCTATGGACACTCGGTGTGTGATGACGTCAACATTGCCTAGGCCGCCCTTACCTCACAGAATATTCTGACCTGCCTGAGTTGATCTAGTAGCCAAATTAAGCAAAAAACAATGCAGATTCGAAATCCCGACCTTCTGTTCGACAGTTCTTACGATACATAACTAATCTAACTAGTATACATGTATAGTGCCTGGGATTAACATCTTACCTCCATCGCTGTGTACAACTGTGAGCACCTGATCCTGGCTAATTACCAGTTTACGTCCGTCGTACAAGGAAACAGCGTCCAACACTTGGCCGAAAGTTACATGCTTGGCAACAATCTGTTTCGATTTGTCGTGGAAACGAAAGTGTTGAAAATAGGGGTGAGTGTAGTGAAGCTAAGATCAATATTTTAGAAATCTACACAAACTTTGACTATAGTTCGTTCAAAAACTCATAAACACACATGCAAGCCATTTTCTCAAAAACTGCTGGCTAGATCGCAATGATTTTTTTTTTTGCATGCAGCCTTAGAATATCCATGATGTTGAGAAAATTATTATTATTTTTTTTTTTTAACTAAAGAAGAATATCACATGCAGTTTTTTTCCCTTCTTTACGATACATAATTTTATCATGAAAGCGTCTTGGTAGACTTTTGGAAGGTTTACTTTTATTAATTTCAGAAAGTAATGCGCACTATGACTGGTTTACAAGGGGGTCAAAGAAAACCTATGTGATTTCATGATTTTTATCGTGCAAAGTCGCACGTGACCTAATGCCAAAATAAGACGTCAGGTCAAGGCGGTTTAGTCAAAGGCGCACAATTTTTTTTAAATATATTTATATATCTTTTGCAGTCTCTCCCAAACGTTTTCTTACTGTATTATATACTCATTTATGTATGTCTCTATCTTTCTCTCTCCATTTTCCTTTATACAATTTAATATTTTTTTAAATATTGTCTCATACTTTCACTTGCAGTCTGTCCACTCTTTCTCACGCTCTGCATCACTCTCTATTAGATTATCAAACTCTAATTGACTCTACTCACTCTGTCAGACAATCTCTATCCTCTCTTTCCCTCGTGTCGCCTCTCCCTCTATCGCATGTTCTACTTTTGCCTTTATTGTCTCGAATCTTTTGTGTTTAATCTATCTTATCAATTTTGCGCTAGGCATACATTTAGTTTTTCTGCTCTCTCAATGCTCTCACACAATATAGACAGACAGACAGACACACACACACACACACACACACACACACACACACACACACACACACCCAATTTCACATATACTGTTCTGAAAATTCTTTCCATAAGACTTTAATTCCCCCCCCCCCTTCCCGCCCCTCTATCTCCTATTTTTTTTGGAGGGGTTGGTTTGGGGAGGGGGAGAGGGGGGGGGGGGCAGTTTTAACATTATCTACTTTCTTTTTCTCACCCATACCTTTTGACAGTATGATTTTAAAAAGTCATATTATTCCTTTTGTACACGTGTGACTTCTCCCTGCACTTGTTCCTTGCTCTCTCACCTTCGCCCAACACACACCTATATGCCCACACAACACCCCTTCTCCCCCACCATACACAGACACATACCCGTATACACCAACATGTGCGCACTCCCATCCACCCACACACACATGCACACACACACTCACACCTACACGCACACAAACACTCACAGTTGCAGGTTCACAACCTCACTTACGTTTGTATAATGGCCAGGTGCAAACCGCGGCCTCTGCCAAAACAACGGCGATTTTGAAAAAGCGAAGTCACTAGGAATAAACATTGTGAGAGTTGCAGAGGCCAACCGGCTTAGCTGGTCCTCGGCTAGAGCTTTGATGCACTTGTTAAACATCCTGAAATCATGAAGAATAGAATCATCTAAGATGCCACGTCAATGTAATTTTGGACCGCAGCATGCTGTGTTCCTAATGTTTTGGTTATTACCTTTTCTTTGGAATCATTACCAAAATATGCTGAGACAGGGATAATGCTGTATGGTCAACATATGGAATGTGCAGTACTGCTAAGGCATTGTATTGTTGTGAGAGGTAACGTTATTCATCGCCTCAATTTGTAATGGCGTGGGCTACGATTGCCAGGTTCCTTAGAGCACATTGGACCACTATTACTGGTCCTGCAAAGCGATAGTGGTTTACTATAGCGCTCGTAGAATATGAAGAGATTTCACGAACCGACAATAGACCTAGAGAGCTATTCCTGTCCTGACGCCTCGAGGCTTTCTAGGAGTAGAGGCAAGAAGTTAGAAAAAGGAACACTATTGTCTGGAAAGATGGAAAGCTGTCAACAATAAATGGGACTAGTCTAAAGCAAGCTCGTGCTGTCGCAGTGTTTGGGTACATTGGGGTACAAGCTGTTAGTAGCGGGGGCGACGGGAACACCATCACACTACAACATTCAGATCCCAAAACACGCCAACAAATAACACTATACAACAAATATCACCTAAAAACTTCAAGATTCTACAACACTCATCATTTACAAACTACACTATTCTACAACACCTATCTTCATCTACAAAATACAAGATTGTATAACGGCTGTAATCTACACACTTCATTATCCTAACTTATTACAAAAACTAAAAAATTCTGCAACAATTATTTGCTACAAACTACAAGATATAATAATACCTATATCCATACACAACAGCATTCTAACGCAAAAAACCGACTACAGGATTCCGCAACACATCATCTACAGATTACAACTGGTTAACAACACATCATTTACAAACTACAACACACCTCAACACCGAACATTTAAAAACTATATTATTCTACATTGCTTGTCATCCACATACCGCGAGATTATATAAAATATCATCTACAAACTATACAGTTATAAAACACATCCTCGACAAAATACAATATCCTACAACATGTATCCTCTACACATTGCAACTTTCTAACCTCCGAATAACACAGACTACAACATTCTATATGACCTATTATCTAAAAGTTCTGAGATGCAAATCCCGACACATACCAGAAAAACCCAACATCCTCCATCCTACAACATTAAAACAAGCACATATTAGGTCACCTTGTGGAGTTGATGTTGTCATCGTTGGTGATCTGGACGGCGTTGTGGAAGACGTACCTCAGCAGGTTGTCAATAACGTGGATGACTCCGTTGGTCGTGGGGATGTTTGGCTTCACAACACGGGCGTGCACTCGGTTGTTGACCACGTATACTAAAGGTGGAGAGAGAGATACCATTCAATGTTTACACAGGTTCATAGTCTTATTGACTGTGAGTTGTGGACTTGTATGTGAGTGAATGTGGAGAAAGGAGATACTATTCAATAATTAAACAAGTTCATTGTCTTACTGACTACAAGTTATTAAGTTGTATGTGAATGCATGTGGAGAGAGGAAATACTATTCAATAATAAGAAGAAACTCCACAGGGGAGCATGTACAGCAGGAGTCTACCAATCATCACTAGAAGTAATTTCTCGTCGACAAATGTTTCGGCCCACGAGCTCCTATACATTTTCAGAGAGTGGGCCCACCTGAGTTCATGAATGTGGAGAGAGGAGATACCATAAATGTTTACACAAGTTCATAGTCTTGACTACAAGCTGTGTAGATTTATGTGAATGAATGTGGAAACAAGAGATACCATAAATGTTTACACATGTTCATTGTCTTATTGACATAAAAATGCAGAGTGTAAAAGAATGTGAAAGCTGTGGTAAAGTACTGTCTCAAGTGCTCTCACACTTTAACAAATATCTCCAAAACTCCTGTACTGATCAACGCGAATCTGTGCACGTGTCCTTATATTTCCCGTATGCTTATGATTTGGTAATATACTGTAACATGGGTACTGTTGTTTTCTTGAAGCGGCGAATTTCTTTGATCTTTGTTTTAACTTTAATTTGTGTACCCCTGAAAAAGAGAAAAGATTTTCAGTGAAATTATGATATATGATGAGTCGCAGGTACAGACAGAGGTGTCTGGGTACTGACTAAAGAATGTATGACGAATAGCATGTTACTGAAAGAGTTAAACGGTCAGTACAAACTTACAGTATCCACCACGTCTGTAAAAACGAAGTGTGCCAAACATGGCGCGCTTGGGCGGAATCTCTGCAATCTCGTATGGAAGGAAAAGTGCCTCGTTCTCGATAATGTGTGCCTCATACACCTAAAGTAAAAGTAAATAAAGTTCATCTTGTACAATTACTAACTGACTGACTAACTAACCGGCCAACTAACTAACTATCGAACAAACTAACCATTCAACTAACTAGCTACTTACTAACTGACTACCAAATTTTTAACTATCTATCATCAAGTTAGCAGGTCCTTTTCAGAACATTGCTGTTATCACAGTCTGACCGAAAGAAATTTGGTCTCTCGCGAGCTCTCCCGCCTCGTGTACTTTCATAATAAAAGATTCACTTATATCCTGTGCCCATCTTCGTGTTGGTACGCCGCTGCCCTCCTTCCTGGTAGCATGCCTTCTGCTGTTTTCCCCCTTATCCGCCATAGTGCTTATTATGACCAAAATAGTTGACATTCTGAGACAGGATATTGTTTATTTGTCAATCTTTCTTGATGTTGAAATCTTTTGCAATGGAAATATTTATTTCTCTTCTTTGTCCATGACATTCTGAGAATCTGTCTATAGCATTTCATCTGAAAAGCCCCTATTTTCATTGTTAAGAACTGGGAGAAAGTCCATGACACACATCCGTATGTTGCCACAAGAAAGATGCATGCTTTCGAAATTATAATTTTGATAGTCTTGCTGGTGCTCAGCCATCGAATTTTAATGCCGTTTAATATTTAACTTTGAAATTAACTTTATAACTAACCAACAAAGCAACAGTCTTTCCAACTACTTTTAAAGAAAATGTGCGCCGTCTCTACAATGAGGGTTGGCTGCAATGCACCAAATGATGACTGTCGGAAAATGATGTAGTGAGGCCCCGGCCTCTTCCTCTTTGCGACTCTCTCAGCACTCTCCAAATGCTACGAACAGTTTTTTTGTTTAACAAAATATGTTGTCGCCGGATCCTTATACACAAGTATCGCGAAATTGTCAGACGCAGTCACCTACCCCTGAGCCACAGAGTCGTAAAACCAGTTGATTATCTGACTTTAAAAAAAAAAAAAAAACTGATTAACTATCTGCAGACTGCTTACCTCCTTGAGCAAAGTGATGTTTTCAAACAAAGGAGTTTTGCCGTACTCTGCCATGTCGACCAGATACGAGTCGTTTGGCGAGAAAGAAGTTATCAGAGCTTGTGTGTTGTTGGTCTTGCGTTTCAGTGACTGTGCCACTATGTCGGCCATTACGATTGCACTGTATGTAATATAAGTGTGCGTTAAATGATTGTTTTTTAAATTATATGGGCCTAATTTACACAGTTTATATAATCATCAATTAAAGACTCCCCTTTGCTGGTCCAAAGCCCGGATGGGAAAGGAGGAGTGTTCAGCGGGGGGCCTAACTCCCCCCCCCCCCCCAAGCTGTCAATGTAATTTTGTAACAGAATTGAGAAAACTGTTCAGTATAGGATGTGATCGATTCAAAAGAGCTAAAGCACAAACACGCACACACCAAAAAAAAAAAAAAAAATTATGGGGCAACTCCTGGTAGCAACATTTATAAGACAAAGAAGATGCCTTTATACTGGACACATCCTGACAAGAAACGAGCAGAGATTCACCAAGCGGTCACTAAAATGGGAAATAAGGGGATGGAATAAACGAGGATGCCCACAATAAACCATAAAATGAACATCGCTGAGAAAGGCCAAAGTGCTGGACTAGATTCCATCCATGATCTTGAATTGATTGCAAAGGATAGAACGGAATGGAGAAACATACTGCGAGTTCTTCTTCTTCATGTGTTCACCCATATTTATAACTGCATTGTGCCCGTTTACAGAAAAGCTGTGATATTTGCCCTTTTTGGCCGACACATCTGACTTCTGCAGGCATTTGTTGACGAGGTTGGCCATACCCGGACCAGGAATTATAATTACGAATCAGAGAAATTGATGTTGGCCTCCAAATCGATATAGCCTACAAGACTGACCAAGTAGAGTCCTGAGGAGCTAAGCCGACCGGTTTTATTTTGACCACATCACACAAGAGTGCCAAACGGTCTATAAAAAATGAGATAAATCTCACGTGCCCTATGCGCCACAATTTTGAAAAGAGCCACTTCTGTGACCATTGTTTCACCACGCGGATATTCAATATCTGCCATGTCAACGAAAACGTTGACCACTGAAAATATATATTTTGTGTTAAATCAACAGAGTCCTGTCTCCGCTTTGTGTCTTCTGTTGAACAAATGATAAAATATTGTGTCAGAGACATACAAGATGTTTTTGACACTGACGTTTGTGGGTATTCGACCTATAGAAGACAATCTGTACGCTGTGTTGTGACTTTTCATAAAGGTTGCGGTAACTAAGCCTTTCGGTCCAAAACATCAAATTTCATGAACAAAAAGAAAAGTCACCCTATATTATATGCTTGTAGGGTTGGAGGAAGGGAGTGTGGGGGTGTCCTTCGTGGCGACGTAGTCAAGCAGTCAAGCTGTTTGCCTCTTACGTGGACATATTTAAACCACATAGGAATACAGGAGGTACAGAATGAGGTTTGTGACACTAAAGTGAAATTTAAAGCAACAGGTTTAGATGTGTCAGTTTACTGGGCGATGGTAAGTCTCGTGGGTTCGTTTTATGACTACATCGTTCAGTTCACGAGTGCAATTTTTGACTATTCATATTCACAATGTGGGCCTTAAATTAAAAATTCCCTTAAATTTATAATTCTGAATCAGCATATGGTTTCCGGGACCCCTCTGTGGAGAAAACAAGAATTAACTCACTGCCTCCCCAACAAGCAGTCGCAAGAGTCGACTAATTTGGATCGTCTTTCAAAGTTAGAGTACCCGAGTTGTCAGAGAGGCAAGGAACCTACAATCTGCACATAAATAGGTCAAATCTTTAGAACGGATATGCACGCAACATCCAGTTTCTGGAACAAGACTAACGTTCAGAGGTGAAAATAACAACCAGAACGTTCCGCCGAAAATTGCTGTGAACACAAAGAAGAAGAATAATTCTGACCACAAAGGCGAAACTGACATGACAAAACCTTGCTCCAGCTACGTGTAGAAACAGTCAGAGGTCTTCGACACTCACCTAAAGGTGAAAGCAGCATCCTCTGGTTTTTCAATGTACTGGGCGATGGTAAGGCCACTTCCGATAGGGTAGATAATACTGTCAAGGATGTGAATGACTCCATTGTCGGTGATGATATCGGCGTAGATGATAGATGCTCCATTAATGGTAGTTACCTGCAGAATATGATTTCACAACTTATATTACATTTATCTCGTTAATACGAATTCGCTTAAGTCGGACACTCGGTTAACATGAATATATTCTGGTCCCAGCTGCGATGTATTATTCTTAATGCATCTGTTACTCTGGTGAGCACGAATTGTTTTAACATAAACATTTGCTTTCGCAGTCCTTTTGAATTCGTGTCAGAGAGTTTCAATTTAATTATATATTTGTGTAGTCCAAAAGTACTGAAGAACATCTTATGTAGCAACTCCCTGTGTGAGGTTTTTTTCTTCTTTTTCATAGCGTTCACCAGCTGTAAACTCTTGCCGACAGCTTTGATCATTCGACCACTTGAGTTTTGCGTGCAGATTCAATTTTACAGATCTGGCTTTTTTTTCTGCAGACTGCTGGTTCTTTTATCTCATAGGCAGATGAGCTCCGATTTTGAGGAAACACTCATAATTAGTAGCCTCCTACTACATTTTTAATAGGGAGCAGCGGGTCTATTCTTTTTTCTTCAAAATGGAGGCTCGAAATCCAATGCGGAATTTGAAGTTTGAGAATGAAGAACTCTTTGTTGTTACATATAACTTGTCGGTATATACGGCCTAGGTGAAGCAAACGAACCTTGTAACTTCGTAATTCCCGGCTTCATTAAGCTGCTGGCGAAGTGGCAAAAGTCTGAACTGCGTTGATTTTGATAATGGTATGGAACGCCGACAGTGGGAAAAGGCAAAAGCTACTGAACGTATAACTGACTGACTGACTTTCTACCCCACCAGGACATCACACAAGCGACAAACACCCGATGACACAAAGTGCCACCATGTGGATGAGGATCGCCGTGGGGAGGTCCCAGAAACCGCGTTCAGACAATTGGCCACGTTTATGGCCCGCCTTTATTGCGGCTCATGGCAAAAGCCAGGGTGGGGCTTCAAATAACTACAAATTTCGTCCTGAAAAGGACGAAAGACATACATTTTAACGTATAACTGCCTAGTAAAACCACAAAAGAGCCAACAATGCTGGCTTTGGCTCTGCCACGTTTTGTAAATGATCATCATAAGTCAGCAGGTCATTTACAAAACGTCGCTCTCGTCACGGCACTCCTAAAAGTCTCTTTCTCCAGCCAATTCTCCAGCCCGGTGTGCTTTCAGAGCCAGTGAATCTTTGATGTCTTGTCTCCACCTTCGCAGTGGATGATGTATTATCAATCCTGGTTCTGTTTAGTTTCTATGGATATATATACAGTGATAGTCTCCCCTTGATTTCCACATTTACATAGCTGAGTCATCTTTTAGATGGCCAGGATAAGTGAGTACCCTTCTCTAAATGATACTGCAGACATCACAGCAAGATTCTTCTTCTTCTGCCTTTCCAATCCCCAGTGGAGCAATTTCCCTCAAACCAACTCACGCTAAGTTGGTATAGCCTTTGCTATCGTAGCTCTCCGTATGTCTTCCTCAGTTTTGTAACTTCACTTCTCCATGTCTCCACACGATGTCATACTTCTGCTAGAAGAGCCTCCTTTCTATATAATAAGAGGGGTTATATAGAATACCTTGGGATGACTTCTGCAACGGGTCACACACCAAGCACAGTAATGTACACTAAACAGTAATGTCTGTTATGCTAACTAAACATACATCATCATCATCATCATTATCACATTCTTCACCCTGTTGTTGTGCCGTTATGTGTCACACTGGGCTTACGCCGTATTCTCACATTCCCTTCTATGCTGGGCAGTTGCTCCAATGTCCAGGACAGAATCCAGTTCAGCACCTTTAACCTCTCTCAACACAGTTCATCTGTCAATCTCCTTTGAAATTTCTCGTTTGCTGAAAACGTAACGCTTCACGATAATGACATATATTTTAGAGACCTTGCGGAACTCAATGAGTGTTATAGTAAATATCGTGCCGGCCAATTTTACTTCTTTTTCTTCTTCAGCGATCTCTGGTCATGCGCATAATCCACGGAGGGTCATAAACTAGGATGTCTTTTCAAGGTTTTACTTCTCAAAAATTTGCCTGGTTCCAAGTTTAAGTGCCGGGATCTAAAAACGAAGGTCAGTTCTTGTGGGAAAACAATCTGGTTCTTTATTGATTTGGACCACTACCTTCGGGTGAGCAGGTGAACATCCAGCGGTTACACCAAAGCGGTTCCCTAACACTACATAAGATACATTTATTTCACGCTGAATTAAAACAAATGGACATGAACACCTATATATAGTGTGCTATATTTTACCTGTCGTCCTCCAATATAGAATGTGTTTACATAGAGGAAACGATCGGGTCCTAGGCGAGACTTAATCTTTCCTTCCTTAGGTAGGTGTGCTAGAGTGAATCTCCCGTTTTCTGAAAGATTATTAATAATTAAAAAAAAAAATAAAAAAACATATTTGACTTTGTAAGATGTAATAGACAAATGTAAAGAAAAAATTTATCTCCATTGGCCTCATAGTATTAGAGCCATATTTGTATAGACCAGGATGAACAATTTAGGACGCGACTAACATTACTCCGATGGCCTTTACTTCCGACGACAATTTCTGGTATCCATTTGAGACTGGGCCGACTCGCGAGCTCTAGGTAATTTTTACAAATCCGTCCTATGCGATTCAAAATAAAGACCTGCGGACAACAGGTAAGCGTCTAGGCAAGGCGATATCGCCCTGCCACTTGTGACCTTAAGCTTAAATATATATGTTTTAGGGAGTTAAGGAAGTTGGCCAGAGATAAACACATAACCTGTCATGGGTTTTCCTACGTCTGAATTCCAGTATAGGTGGTAATGCTTTTGCACACTTGATCTAAGATATCACATTAACGTTTCCGAGGAAGTAAAGACGGTCTGAGTACCATTCGGCCAAGAGGGCTTTCATGTGTTGAATTCAAATACATTTGTAATAATTGTGCACACTTCATCTGAGATATGCTAGCACTACGTAAACAAAGTACCAGAAACTATTTTTATTTAAAGCAGACTATGTATAGTTGGCAGTCGCCGTGGCGTTGACCGCTAGACGCGGATCAGGAGATCGTAGGTTCGCGTCCTGACGGAGCCAGACATTGTTTTTTTCAAAAATGACCCCTGCGTCGACCAAGGTTTGAGTGGATACCAGGTACAGTCCTGGGAAGTAAAGGCGGCTGGTGTGATGCTGACCACATCACCCAACAAGTGCCGATTAGTCGATCAAAATATAGGTTAAGCCCTATGTTACGACTAAATGTGTGGAAAAGGAACCTTAATTTTTTTTTTCTACTATGCATCGATAACACATCGATTACTCTTCACCTCACAGGATTTATGGATTCAAACTACTGATTTCTTTCATGTTACACAGAAACAATCTCCTTTTTTCGATTACCCTTCTCTTACCATTTTTAGCGCACTGGACAAACCCAGTCTGGAAATTAAAAAAGATTAATTTTATTATGGCCAAGACACAAAAAAGCAACTTAATTTTTGAGTCCCGGGGGGGGGGGGGGGGGGGGGGGGGGGTGGGGGGGGGGGTGGGGGGTTAACATCACAGGCCTAAGGGTAGTCAAATGAAACATGAAATCAGCGCATCATGCATTCATTGGGCTTCTAGGTAGGAACCTATGAACGTATGATGCGTTTCTTGGGACTCACAGAGTTAAGAAGCCAAGCATGTCATCCAAACAGGCAGCATTCATCTGTGATTTGTTAAAATTCTAACGCCACTATTACGCCTAGATAGTGTGAGCTATGAGGTTATAATTCTGGATAGAGCAAAGTCCAGGGGAAAGGGGATCAAGAGGTTTAAGATCTGTTGCAGTGATAATAATAATAATAATAATAATAATAATAATAATAATAATAATAATAATAATAATAATAATAATAATAATATAAATGGAAAAAATACGATAATTGATGCGAGAAAGATGTGATATGAATAAACAAAAACGCATAACAATAACCCATGTTCAGCTTGTGGGCAAGATAGCAGCCAGTCATCTTACGAATAATGTTGCTCTAGTCTTATTAAAGGAAGGAGGGGGGTCGAAGGGAAGGGGACCTCAAATTACATACCCCCCCCCAGTCCCCCATCCAACAGCCTTTAAGTCGGTTCCAGCGCCACAAGCTGAGGCGGAACTGATTAATTGACTGAATATATTCAACATCAGGCGAAAAGAAAAGACTACGACACACGAGAAGTGAGAAGAACTTGAGAGTGGCTGAGTTCGCTAATCTCCACTAGATCTTCCCGCTGTCTCTTTTTTTGCAATTAATAAACTTGTTAATGATTATTTAAAGATGTGTTTTTGTGACTTGTTGAAATTCACATACGCCTGTGCGTTCGATGATTTTGTGACTCTGACGCGGTGAGTTTTGGCACAAGATGGATGGGAATTAGGCTTTAAAAAAAATAGTTTGTCCAAACTAATATGTTACTGGTTTAGGCAAGTTAGTTGGGGAAAAAATGCTATTAAATAACGGGAATGTACAACATAATGATAATATAGTCAGAAACAGGCTTTGTTGCCGTCGACTCCTCGTCCTCCTGGTCTTCTTCTTCTTCTTCTTCTTCTTCTTCTTCTTCTTCTTCTTCTTCTTCTTCTTCTTCTTCTTCTTCTTCTTCTTCTTCTTCTTCTTCTTCTTCTTCTTCTTCTTCTTCTTCTTCTTCTTCTTCTTCTTCTTCTTCTTCTTCTTCTTCTTCTTCTTCTCTTCTTCTTCTTCTTCTTCTTCTTCTTCTTCTTCTTCTTCTTCTTTTTCTTCTTCTTCTTCTTCTTCTTCTTTCTTCTTCTTCTTCTTCTTCTTCTTCTTCTTCTTCTTCTTCTTCTTCTTCTTCTTCTTCTTTTTCTTCTTCTTCTTCTTCTTCTTCTTCTTCTTCTTCTTCTTCTTCTTCTTCTTCTTCTTCTTCTTCTTCTTCTTCTTCTTCTTCTTCTTCTCCTCCTCCTCCTTCTTTTCTTTTTTCTTCTTTTTCTTTTTCTTCTTCTTCTTATTCTTCTTCTTCTTCTTCTTCTTCTTCTTCTTCTTCTTCTTCTTCTTCTTCTTCTTCTTCTTCTTCTTCTTCTTCTTCTTCTTCTTCTTCTTCTTCTTCTTCTTCTTCTTCTTCTTCTTCTTTTCTTCTTCTTCTTCTTTTTTTCGTCTCCTTCTTCTTCTTTTTCTGCGTGTGTATGTGTGTCAGTGTCTGCTTGTCTGTGCGTGTGTGTTTGTTTCTGCGTCTGTGTCTGTCTGTGCAAGTGTATGTATGTATGTATGTATGTATGTATGTATGTATGTATGTATGTATGTATGTATGTATGTATGTATGTATGTATGTATGTATGTATGTATGTATGTATGTATGTATGTATGTATGTATGTATGTATGTATGTATGTATGTATGTATGTATGTATGTATGTATGTATGTATGTATGTATGTATGTATGTATGTATGTATGTATGTATGTATGTATGTATGTATGTATGTATGTATGTATGTATGTATGTATGTATGTATGTATGTATGAATGTATGTATGTATGTATGTATGTATGTATGTATGTATGAATGTATGTATGTATGTATGTATGTATGTATGTATGTATGTATGTATGTATGTATTATATGTATGTATGTATGTATGTATGTATGTATGTATGTATGTATGTATGTATGTATGTATGTATGTATGTATGTATGTATGTATGTATGTATGTATGTATGTATGTATGTATGTATGTATGTATGTATGTATGTATGTATGTATGTATGTATGTATGTATGTATGTATGTATGTATGTATGTATGTATGTATGTATGTATGTATGTATGTATGTATGTATGTATGTATGTATGTATGTATGTATGTATGTATGTATGTATGTATGTATGTATGTATGTATGTATGTATGTATGTATGTATGTATGTATGTATGTATGTATGTATGTATGTATGTATGTATGTATGTATGTATGTATGTATGTATGTATGTATGTATGTATGTATGTATGTATGTATGTATGTATGTATGTATGTATGTATGTATGTATGTATGTATGTATGTATGTATGTATGTATGTATGTATGTATGTATGTATGTATGTATGTATGTATGTATGCATGCATGCATGCATGCATGCATGCATGCATGCATGCATGCATGCATGCATGCATGCATGCATGCATGCATGCATGTATGTATGTATGTATGTATGTATGTATGTATGTATGTATGTATGTATGTATGTATGTATGTATGTATGTATGTATGTATGTATGTATGTATGTATGTATGTAGGTGTGAGTGTATGCATGTTTGCCTGTGCATATGAATGTGTGTATATGAATTTATGCGAATGACCTTTGGTCCGGATGACCAGCGTCTAGCCACTACGTTACAACGGCTACACTGTAACGACCATCCTGTTACTTGACTTTTTCGACTTTGAGAAATTCAAGTATAAAAGCTCTTTCTTTGAGCTCAAAAACGTTAAATGTATCTTGAAGCTGAGGGAGTCACTAATAATTCAGGAATATGGTGCTAATCTAGCAGTTTGGTTGAATGGAAAAAAAAAAAAACTGTTTCGAATAATAATACATGGTGAGTTGCTTGTTGTGAAAGAGGAATACTTGAGAATACATTGACACACGTGTCAGAGATTAAACTGACCAGAGAGATACGTGATTCCTCTCGGAGATACTTCACTGATTTTGCATATTCTTGATAGTATTTGTTGTATTGTATTTTCCTGTAATGTGACAGTGAAGCTTCAACATTATCTTGTCGTTTGTGCTTGGGATCATGTGAATCTTACTGATTCTATTTATTGTTTGGTTTGATATCTGTTCGTGATACTGGCGAATAACATCAAGATTGGACTGGAAAGAAAATATTTTGACTATAATCTTTGCGTGAAACCGAGATTATTTGAGATCTATGGCAGTTGGCTAAAATTGTGAGAGCGGCTTTTTATTTAATCAGACTGATTAGATAAACTCATTCCTGTCTTGAAGAGGCTGACATGGCATCGTCATAAAACTGATTGTAAATTTTCTCGAGAATGAGAAACCAGACTGTTGAAGGAATCGCCTGTTGAATATTAACACCACACAGTCAGGGGGCCTTGGAACCGGGGAGAGCTTATACACAGCCTGGACATCCCACACTCCCACCCCACCTGACCCACAATATAAGATCTCTTTTTAAGTTTTCTTTAAGGTAATGAAACATTGTCCACACCTTCAAGCGTACTGGGTATATAGGGTAGACCTACGTTTTATAGGCCATCGACACTTGATTGATGTGGTAATGTGGTCAGCATCACACTAGCCGTTTTTACTTTGCAGGCTTCACCTGATACCCATGTAAGGCTGGGTCAACATAGTAGTCATGATAATTTACGAAAGAACGACAGGCTTCGTCAAGACCCAGATCCACGATCTTCCGATCCGCAGGCCAGTGTCTTACCCCTACACCACATCTGCTCTCATGTTTAGTGTACACGCCTAAAATCATTTCAAAATATTAGTCAGTTTATTTTCTATATAGCACAGTTTTATTTATATTCTTATAAATTTATTATTGAACCCTCAAACGATGCTACAAAACAATAGAGACACAGTAAACCTGAAAATACATGGGGCAGGTGCTTTTTATCTGTATTATATCACAGGTACGTATATTTTTTTGTACAGGTGTTCGAGGCAGACACAACAAAGACTCTTTTTGTCATAGTAAAAGTCAGTGTTTCCCAAAGTATTTTATTGGGGGGGGGGGCGGGGGTGGGGAGGGGGTAATTGTGGGAGGAGGGGGGATGGTAAAATAATTGTTAAGAGGGCAATTCGAAAATTGACTCGTTCAGAGTTTAAGCTACATGGGGGGGGGGGGGGGGGGGGGGGGGGGGGGGAGGTGAGGGGGGGGAGGGAAAGGGAGGCATACGAATCTTTGAAATGCTTTGGTGGATCATAAACACACACACACACACACACACACACACACACACACACACACACACACACACTATCTCTTTGTCTCTTTCTCTCTCACACTAACACACAAATTACTAGAACTCCACGTAAAAAAAACCTAGGCTTAAACCCGGGACCTCTAGCACTCGAGGCCGACGCCATACATCGAGACCACGCAGCTCCCCAACTCAAGTGTCTGTCCAAGTGTCTCTATCATGCAGCAGGATTAAGCGTAAGTAACATTTTGCGATTCTAATTTTTGATACGTTATCTCACAAACTGTCAGTAAGAATAGACCCATCAATTAGAAAACATGCACGGATTTAAACATATACTCACGCGTTGCGTACGTGAGTAGAGTTGCCCATTTCGTCGCTTCCCCAAGCTCAGCATCGTATTTGAAGAAAGCATCGGAGCTCGGCAGGTAGATTGTGATGTTGTCAATGTCCAGCAGGTTGGTTAGGTTTCGGCTGACCAGAACTCTCCCGAACTGAAAAACAGGGTGAGAAGTTTCAGAAAATTTAAATATCTCTTACATACTTGAAACAATCATGAAAATATTAAACACTTCGTATTTTAGCAGATCTGTTGTGAGCACATCGGAAATTTTGGCTATTCGTTATATCCTGGACTGTTTTCTTGTTTAAGACTTGAATGTTTTGTACCGTGAAGTTTTAAAGAAATGGTATATTTGTTTTCAAACAGATTGTTAGTTGCGTCCCAGCCCTTCCCTTACTCCTTCCACGTGTGGGTTCCATGACTCAAATTTGCAGAACAAAGAATACACCCACTGCATCCCTAACAAGCTTGCCTTAGGAGGCAACTAATAAAGGGTGTCTCTTTCAAAGTCCGAATGCATCTGCTTCAGAGGCAAGGAACAAACAATCTGCAAACAAATAGGCCACATATCTAAGCCAGAGACAGATGTCGACTGTGGACCGGGTTGATCACCCCTAACACAGTATAATACCTCCGATTTCGTAAGACCACAATGAAATATGCCCCCAGGGCCCTCCGAAAGGGGGGGGGGAGAATGAAGGGCCCAATCTGATTGATACCTTCGTTGACGACTTTGCTAGCCCCCGGACTGAGTTACTCGCCCAACGTCCGGGCTGGCTCTGTACATGTGGAAAAAGCTTCACGGGGTTGCATGGTCTGAGAACGCATGCCGGAAGAATTAAATGCGAGGGTGCTCCACGCAGTAAACGCCGTCGCAAAACTACCACTCCTGTGGTAGTTTCTGAGTCGTCAGGGTACGACGGGCAGGGTAAACCCCACTCGCCCGGAGAGGCCCATGACGTCGACTGCGGAGGAGCACCTTTGATGATTTCTGAAGAAGTGCGTTCCAGAATCAGGTTTCCACCTGCGAGCGAGAAGGTGGTGTGGTGTAAGTTGGAGGTTACATTATGTGAGGTACTTAAACAAACTCTAAACAAGAAGTCGCTAGGCGACAAGCTTACTAAATTTGGTGATGTAATATATGAACACTGCTCCCGCGAGTTCGGGACAGTAGTAAAGGCACAGCCGGGTGCCAAGCAGAATACTAGCAGGAGGCAGAGGGACATTCTGAAGTGTCGGGCAGACAAGAATGCCCTCAGAAAACGGTTCAAAGCCGCTACATGCAGCGAACGGGAGGGGCTGTATGAAGTGTGGGTGCATTTAAAGAACAAACACAGTGCCCTCTGTCGCGACGAGCGTTTCTGTAACAACAGACGGAGAACCAAAAGGGAGCGAGAGAAATTCTTTAGGGACCCGTATCAGTTCGCCCGAGGTCAATTCGAGCAACCGAAGTCTGGGACTCTGGTTGTCAGTCAGGAAGAACTAGAGCTACATCTACGCAAGATGTACTCGGATAAAAAGAGGAGAGAGCCTCTCGATGACAATCCAGAGATCCTTAGCGGTCTAAAACAGCCTTCGGTGCCGAAGGTACCATTTAAAATGGTACCTCCCCTTTGGTCTGAGGTTGAGGACGTTGTGAAAAAGGCCAGCGGCAAGTCTGCCCCAGGTCCGAACGGTGTTCCGTACGTTTTTTACAAGCGTTGCCCGAAAATCCTTGAAATGCTTCACGTCTTGTTGAGACAAGCGTGGATCCGCAATCACATATGTCCAGAGTGGTCAAAGGCAAATGGGGTCTACATTCCCAAAGAGCAGGACTCGAAGAGTCTTTCCCAATTCAGGCCCATCTCGCTGTTGAATGTCGAGGGTAAGATATTCTTCTCAGTCATGGCTCGCCGGCTCACACAGTATCTGATGACTAACAAGTACATAGATACGAGTGTTCAGAAGGGTGGTATTCCAGGCGTTCCTGGGTGCCTTGAACACGCGACCATGATTTGGGAGGCTATCCAGAGAGCCAAGCATGAGAGAACCGATTTGCACGTTATATGGTTGGACTTAGCCAACGCCTACGGGGCAGTCCCCCATAGGCTACTGTGGCGAGCCCTTCGCATGTTTCACGTACCGACACAGATCAGTCAAATGGTCGGGCAATATTTCTCTAAGTTCGCTTTGCGCTTCTCTACCTCGACGTTTACCACGAGGTGGACTGAGTTGCAGATTGGGATAGCTATGGGCTGTACGATCTCACCCATACTGTTTGTCATGGCAATGCAGATCATGTTAGACGGGGCGGCCGGCTACGGACTGGGCCTTCAAATAGGGGATCACTGGTTGCCGCCACTACGCGCATTTATGGATGACACGACTACAATAACGGGCAGCGAGGAGTCTGCCCGCACGATCCTGAAAAGATTGGACGCGGTGGTCCAATGGAGCGGTATGCAGTTCAAACCGCAGAAGTCGAGGAGTCTGTCAATCCATAAGGGCAGGGTGTCGGCGACCAGTTTTACGGTGGCAAGGAACAAGATCCCTACGGTTCTGGAGGAACCGGTGAAGAGCCTCGGTCGCGTTTACGATTCAAAGTTATCTGACAGAGCGGAAGTCCGGCGAATACATGAGTCACTGGCTACAGGCCTGCTCGCGATCGAGCGATGCAGGCTGGTCGGGAAATTCAAGGTATGGTGTCTCCAATTCATGTTGATTCCGAAACTCCTATGGCCACTGTCAGTCTACGAGGTGACGATGACTGCAGTGGAAGCCATGGAAAAGAAAATCAACACAGCCTTAAGAAAGTGGATTGGTGCACCGCCTTGTCTGACCGACGTGGCTCTGTATTGTAAGCAGGCTAAGCTGGTACTTCCGTTCAAATCAATAACAGAAGAGTTTAAAGTCGGCAAAGTAAGACTCGCCATGCTTCTGCGCGAGTCTTCAGACCCAAATGTCATCGCTGTCCAGCCCGCTCTAAAGACTGGTACCAAGTGGAGGGTCCTCGATGCGATAGAATCTGCTCAGAATGCACTAAAATTGAGAGAGATAATGGGTTACACACAAACCGACCGTCGAGGCCTAGGGCACGGGAAAGTCAATTGGTGGTCAAAGGCCTCAGCCAAAGAACGCCGAGACATGGTAATACAAACGGTGAGGGACAACGAAAACGAGGTTCGGGTTCAGAAAGCAGCCCAACAGTCGCAGCAGGGCCATTGGGTCAGCCTGGAGAGCGCATTGCCAAGAGTACTCACATGGGGTGAGATCTGGCGGATGACCCCGCTGCGACTGAGCTTTATCGTTCGTTCGGCGTACGATGTATTACCGTCCGGTGTTAATATGGTTAAATGGTCTGCGACCAACGATCCGACTTGCCCGTTGTGCAAATCAAAGCAAACTCTTGAGCACGTCCTGTCCGCGTGCAGGAAAGCCCTAGGTCAAGGCCGATATACCTGGCGCCACAACAAGGTGCTAAAGGAGTTAGCAGCCGTTGTCGACCAGGCTAGAATGAGGGCTAACGCCAGAGCCCAGTTCTAGTATCGCCCCCATTCGTTTCCTCAAGGCTGGGCAGGTTCCAATTGGTAAGGTCAACAAAAACGCATTCGCTCCATCTGTACTAGACTCTGCGAGGGACTGGTTACTGGCGGTTGATCTGCCAGGCCATGAAAACGGTATCCCGAGTTGATCCGTAAAACCGGCCTGCGACCGGACATCGTTCTCCATTCTGCGCAAAAACGGCAACTCATCCTGATTGAGTTGACGGTCCCGTTTGAGTCGCGTATGGAGGAGAATCATTTGTACAAGCTCGAGAAGTACAGTGATTTAGCAGCCGGTTTGAGGAGAAACGAGGCTTACACAGTACGGGTATTTGCCGTCGAAGTGGGAGCGAGAGGCCTCGTTTCCACTTCGCTCTACAATGTGGTGAAAGAATTAGGATTGCGCGGTAATGAACGGAAACGAGCACTCAAAAAACTGGGAGAGGTGGCCGAAAGGGCATCTAGCTGGCTTTGGACGCAGCGCAACAACGTAGGGGACGGGCCTCGGTGAGCTGGTCCGGGTATCTAGTGGAAAAGAGTTTCTTATCCCTTTGAAAAGTCCATCGTGTACGAATTGTCTGCCAGTGTCCCTCTGCCAACTGCTAATAAAAGTCCAACATGTGTCCGGTAAACCAAAGTAAGCTTGTCGCTCGGTCGTCCAGGCATGCGGACTGTTTTAATTACGCTGTCGCGGCGGCTTCTTATCTCACAGTACCTCCTTCGAAACCACCAAGTCGTCTTGTCTCTGGCCGAAAGTATAACACCATCCGGTAATTCCGTGCAGCGGGGAACCAGCCCTGAGCTTCATGAACTCAGGTGGGCCCACCTCCGAATGCGTTTAGGAATCGTGGGCCGAAACGTGTGTCGAAAGATGATAATTTCTACTGATGACTGTAGATCCCCGCTGTACTTGCTCCCTGTGAGTTTATTCTTATCGGATTTACACCTAAAGCTCAAATTCTGGATCAAGACAGGAGTCCAGGAGTGGAAAAACAACTAAAAATTTCCACTAGAGTTTACAGCAGTACACGCACAGAAGGGGAAAGAAGTTCACAGGGAGAAGGAGGAAGAAAGAAGCCACACAGGCAGATGCAACCAAGCTTCCAAGGAAATATCTATCCTTTTTACGCTGGCTAGGTCCCCCATCTGGTCACCTGCTTCTAAGATGACCTTGGAGAAATGTAGATTAGGTCTTAGTATGATCGGTTGTCAGAGTGTACCGCCACTTTGTGTGATCCGTGGTCCTCGAGCACTACTACATTGTGTTATCCGTGTTCCTTGAGCACTATTACTTTGTGTGATCCGTGTTCCTTGAGCACTACTACTTTGTGTGATCCGTGTTCCTTGAGCACTACACTAGTTTGTATGATCCGTGGTCCTCGAGCACTACTACTTTGTGTTATCCGTGTTCCTTGAGCACTAGTACTTTGGGTGATCCGTGTTCCTTGAGCACTACTACTTTGTGTGATCCGTGTTCCTTGAGCACTACTACTTTGTGTGATCCGTGTTCCTTGAGCCCTACACTAGTTTGTATGATCCGTGGTCCTCGAGCACTACTAGATTGTGTGATCCGTGGTCCCCCCTCGAGCAACTACTAGATTGTGGGATCCGTGGTCCTCGAGCACTACTA